CTTTGCTACAGTCAGGGTTCCACCATGGAGCACATTTTGAAGTGTAGGATCTAAAAGTTCAGGGAATGACTGTATAGGCTGCATTTAGGGTATTGGCTGTGAAGTAAAGGAGCATGTCTGATGTGGAAGAGAAGGATGGAGGAAGATCAAGGGTAGAGAGAGAGGTAAAGGTATGCCAGTCAGCTCTGTCAAAGCATCAGCGAGGGGGACTGGGTAGTGGGAGGAAGTAGGAGTAAGGAGGATAGGGAAGTGGTCTCTATAGTGAAGGTGCATAGAACTGACCAGGGGAAGTCAAGACAAGGGGAAGGAGAGCAGAGAGAGAGAGATCAAGGCATGAAAAGGATTGGGTTCACATGTTGAAGTGCGTGGGACAGTTTGGATTTAGGATAATAAGGTCAGGTCGTTAGGAAAGAGGATGGGCTGTGTTTGGGAGAAGATAGGGTTGGCACAGGGGGGGGGAAAGAGTGAATGGGCTGTATTGGGTAGGAGTTAGGATTGGTGTAAGGGGGGATGGAGAGGATGGGCTGTGTTGGGAGGGAGTGGGGGGAAGAGGGGTAGATGGAATATGAGAAGAGGATGGATATCAGCAGTCATTTTGAAAGTAAACAGAATGGGGGTAGGGAGGTTAGAAGATGGTTGAGAAAAAGGAGTATTTTGGGGGGTCACGCATAAAAAGTTTTGAATGTCCTTGAGGATTTCTGGAGAGGAGTTGTGTGCAGGGCTTTGGGGTAAGAAGGATTTTTTATGGAGAGGTGAGGAGGTGATAAACATTTGAAGAGTAGATGTAGGTGTAGGAGTTAATGTGGTAGGAGAGGATGGGGTGGAGCATTTAGTTTGTCTGGTGCGATACATGGGAAACTAAAAAGTCACTTTGAGGGGTAAGGGCTAAACAATTAATCATAGGGAATACTGTGCCCATGGCTCCTTGAGGCCATTCATGACTGGCACAGCTCCCACACCTTAGGAATTGGACAGGGGAAGGAGTTGGGGAAAGATGAGGAAAAAGAAAGAAGAGACCGTACAAAATTAGTTGAATGGTGGGCTGAGGTCCAAGGTAGGGGAGATCCTCTACAGAAAGCCTCAGTCTCCTTCTCCTGAGCCCTCCCCCACAACAACAAGGGGTAAGGAATTGGGAAGATCATATTATAAGAAATAATAACAGTAAAATAAATCAAAACTCTTCTTTCTAGAATGTCATAAATAGGTGAAGTTAGACAGGCCTAGTTTTTGGCTCCTTGGTGAAAACACTTCTTGTCATCAGCATGTAAACAAAATTAATAGAACAAAACAACAGTGATCAATGCATCTAATCAACAGGTTAAGCTACAGTGCTTTAATGCTAAAAGACTACAAAATTCTTGATAATGCCATCAATAATATATCAGCTTATTTATGCTATGACTTGGACCATCAGTTGTGCAAAGTTTGGTGCTAATTGGCTATGGTCAGCTTGCACAAAATTGTTGAAATCTAGTTCTTTTCTCAAAAAGTTCCGAATGATGAGCCTTTATGACAATAATATTGTTCTTGGAAGGGCTCGGCTTTCAAGTAGTTGCAAAACATGCTATCTGACAATTTGGAGACTTTAGACCGCATCTTTAATCATACAATCTCGGACATTTGAAGCTTTCACCATTCATAATTGCTTTCATCTATCCATATATCTTTTCAACATGACTTAACATGCAGAGAAAATCCTTACCCTCATCAGGTTCTTCCTCTTCTTCTTCTGGTGGCAAATCCTCCACGTCCTCCTCCTCATCTTCTTCATTAGCATATGACACAAGTCTGTTCAACTGCAAAGAAGGAAAATCAACATAAATAAACTCCCAAATTTTCTTTCTCTCTCTCTCTCTCTCTCTCTCTCTCTCTCTCTCCTCTCTCTCTCTCTCTCTCTCTCTCTCTCTCTCTCTCTCTCTCTCTCTCTCTCTCTCTCTCTCTCTCTCTCTCTCTATATATATATATCTAACTCTATCTATCTATCTACCTCTGTTTATCTATCTACCTCTATCTATCTATCTACCTCTATCTATTTATTTATCTATCTATCTATCTCTACCTATCTCTATATATCTCTATCTAGATATCTATCTATATCTAGATATCTATCTCTATATATCTCTATCTATCTATCTATCTCTATCTAGATATCTATCTCTATATATCTCTACCTAGCTATCTATCTCTATATATCTCTATCTATCTATCTATCTATCTATCTATCTATCTATCTATCTATCTATCTATCTATCTATCTATCTATCTATCTATCTATCTATCTATCTATCTATCTATCTATCTATCTATCTATCTAATCTATCTATCTATCTATCTATCTATCTATCTATCTCTATCTATCTATCTATCTATCTACCTACCTACCTACCTACCTACCTACCTACCTCTATCTATCTATCTATCTATCTACCTACCTCTATCTATCTACCAATCTACCTACCTCTACCTATCTATCTAAATATCTATCTATATCTATCTATCT